ATTTAAATAATTCAAGATTTGATGACATTTTTAATGAGTGGCTCAGGAAGATTTGGCGGTGGTTGCGACTACATGAAAATTGGAAGAGAACATCTTCCATGGTGGAAATTGCGCTTCGGGAAGAGAATTTTCAAGACGTATTGAAAAATTTATTTTTTAATACGGTAAAGAAGTTTCGAGAACTAGACACGAAGTACGCAAAAAAAGCGAACGGTATCTTTAATAAAAGCAGTGTAAGTATCGTACTAAGTTTATTTTTTTTTTAAAAAAAAAAAATAAAACGTATAAGAGATATTAATACTTTTCTTTTTGTAGGACATATGGAATGAAAGAGGCTCTAAAATGTTTTTGAAATGTTTAAGCGACAATTATGCAAGATCGGCTCCTGTGGCTAGTACATCTTCAGCGATGCGACATATTCCACCTAATTCTATATGTAATGTTTCCACTTCAAAATATTGCGTTGCCACGTGAGTTTCCTTTTAAACAGATCTAACGAATGTTCATCACTTGATCCAGTAAATGTTTCGGAACCAGCCGTGAATATTACTGAAGCTACTCTACGAAAAACAGTGACTGAAGAAGTCTTAGATATTTGCGAATCTTTGTCCACAATAAGAATGGCGTCAAGCCAGGAAATTGCATTAACCAATGAAGATTTTGATCCAACATGGCTCAAGTCTGTCGAAAATGAATTACGCATGGAAATTAAAGTTCAAAACTTGGAACAAGAGGTTAAATTATTCATGGAAGAACGTGCAAAATTATCAAGCTATGTCAATATAATTGAGAATAAACTTCAGTCATTAAATGATACTATGAAACAGATTCATCAAGTGTTAGGAAAAAAAAATTAGAATAATAATCTTGAGTTCTATGTAAATGTAATAGCATAGAGTTTTAGTAGTAGTTTGAAATGTTTTTAATTATTGTAAAACAGAAACAGTTTAAATGAAATTTAGTAAAACGCTTTTTAAAAAAAATTGCAATTTTTTACTAGATACATTATTAAAATTTATGTACAGTTAAGTAGTAAATCAAATAATTTGTTGATATTGAAACCATATTTTGCTAAATTATATCACAGATTCCGCAGGTCCCTGTTGGATAAGAAATCCAAACTTTACAAGTGGTCCGCCAATAATTTATTTATTCATTTGCTTCACCTCCTCTTGCATATTATTCAGCTCAAATGGTTGGAGACTAAATGATTATAACGTTCGGTATTATATTTGCTAATTAAACATTCCTCTCCCTTCAATTGCTTAAAACTTATTACCTCTGTGGTAGATTTGATTACCAGATGCCAACATTTCAAATGCGAAATTTAACTAATATTTACATATTGAGCGTTCAAAACTATACATGAGTATCATCTATTCTTCCTAATTATACCTGTACTTCTGGTACCAGTTCATCTACTTCAATATCCAACAATTCCAATTTATCTACTTCAATGCCCAACAAATTCCAATTTATCTACTTCAACACCCAACAAATTCCAATTTATCCTATAATTC